CGCATCACCCGAAAATCCCTTATCAAATGTGTCACGGTCGGCATTATGACAACACGCCGATTCGCAGCCTACCACGTGTTGGATCACGTGCCACAGAGAATTTCCTCCCCTCGCGTGCATAACTCTGTAGATCTCCTTCTTCTTTCTCTTTACCTTTATTATTTTACTTGGTCTGTGTTGATTTCAGCGCTCTAACCTAAACCCGTTGAATTATGCCGTGGCGTTGGAGTCAACACCACCCTTACTAACACTTGATGACACTAGGAATAACTTAAATTATCCCACCATACTTTATGACATGAAATTTACGAAATTTACTATAGTGCTAGTTGTGCCTATATTTTTATACGTGCCAAGGCACATCAATACAACAGCGACAGCGAATACTCGGGCTGCCATAACCCTAACCCTAAGCAACCTACAAAATACCACCTTGAGGCTATCGCCACGCAATGCCACGGGGCACCGATTCGCTGGCGGACCTGATGCCTCCAAGGCGGAATGTACCAGCGTCTTCGTCAGCCAGCTGCACTTCTGGGACTTCCAGGCCACGGCTGGAAACCGTTTGCCCCAGATGTAACGGTCCAAGCTGAGTATTTTGACAACTAGCTAGGCGACTACTACGAGTATCTAAACGCTAAAGAAGAAAGAGAAAACAGAACAAGAAGAGGAGAGCTCTTGGGCTCTTGAGCTGCTGAGCTCGACACGTGGTTAATCTCGCTTACGGATGGGTCCCGGCCGGGGGCCGGGGCCGAAGGCGAGAGTGCAAGCCGAGCCATATTGGGCTCAGCCCGTTACACCAGATGTATCTGCTAACCCTTCCTCTTTCTCTCGCCAATCACGCTTAGATGAACTCTTGGGTTTGTTGAAGAAACTTCGGCTAGTCAATACTGCCTAGATATCTCATTCATCGCCACTCGCCCTGTGATGTATCTGCGTCTAAGGAGCGATGACATGCGTACGGGGAGAGGGACTTGGAAAACTTATCTGGTATCGTAAGTTTGGCATCTGTCAGGCGCTCTGCGCGCACTGGAGGCCCCGGACGGGGCTGGATTCTCTGGGTGCAAGGCAAGGAGATCAATCCTTTACTGCTGTG